AAAACATTAATCAGTAACTCGCTGAGGAAATTTCAGAAGTACAGTTTCGTAATAAACAAAGAAGCAAATAATAAATAAATACCAAAAACTGTCTTGATAAATGCATCGGGCCTGAAGACAATCCAAAATACCAACGTAACAATTTCATTACCGTGAGAAACTCAGTCTCAAATAAATGGTTAACTTCAAAATGTTATTGGCTTGAAAACGCATTGGAGAAGTCATAGCGGTGGCTGGTTTGGTGTCAGCGTTCAACTGGTAAAAGAGTTTACTACTATTCAACAAACTGTAATTAAGGTGAGATTTAAATGCTCACGGGTTCGAGTATGAAGATACTTCTGGTACAAATTTACAGACGTTTCAGAAGTGTTCACAATTTCAAACTGAAACGTCTGTACATTTCTACCAGACTATACGGTACAACGTCCCACAAGACAGACATATTGAAAGTCCAGTTTCTCTCCCCTTCGAGATCTTACTAAAAATCTGAAACTCGGGTAATGAAAAAAAAGCTTACTCCATTCTTGGAGCTGAAGTACACTAGTTAAATACCGGCTGCAAGATGAGAGAACCATTTTACATGAATCACGTTTCCAGCTTCCCCATTAATTTTTCCACCGGTGATACGTTATTTTCTTTCTTTTCTTTTTTTTACTACGTAGTACCAATACCGACTCAGAAATAAAACCAACACAATGTTAAAGACCTATTAGACTTACATAGACGTAGTCATCACCGGAAAACCAAGCAAAGACGTGACACATAAATCACTGATCTATATATTTTCATGTAGAACTCACTTATACAAACACAACAGGGGCAATACTAAAGCGACACAGATAGAAATTACTAGAAATGGCCAGTTACCTTACGTAAACATGTAGTGGGATAGTCGAATGCAGGAATGACGTAGTCTAAACGGACAAATCAACTGCAAGGACGATATTACGTCCTATGTAAGGCTCTTCATTACAATCTTTAATATCTGCTAACATTTTCTTGGGGTATGAAGAGGTGAAATTAAGGCTGGAATCCCCTCTCCCCCCTTCCAAACACAATCATCATGGTGTAATTAGAGACTTATTTTAAAATACCAACATAAAGCCAAAGCTGCCCTGGTGCTTAAGCACCACGCCATAGGTAACAGAGCTACTGTCTTCGGCATCGACGAGCGGCACGCTGATTTCATTGCATTCTGAGTTAAATGTAACATGCAATGCGTAAACAAAACATAGCGAAATAAATACAAAAATTGACTGAAAATGTGTATGAAAACTTACCGTAAATGTTTGGGAGATCAGGCCGACTGCATCCATTTCGGCACTCTGGTTTTATACCGGTATAACTAACACTGTACTTGAAACTTTTAGCCACTGCACAAGCAAAACACGGTCAATAAACTTGTAATTTCACTCCTACGCTGTTAATTTAGCCATAACTGTTCTTTCTAACAATCTGCACACTATCCAAACGTCCCAGTTTTGATGCTTGTCATGCACCACAACATTAACACACAGATATAATTTTCTTAACACATAATTTACAATATGTTTGTCGATGTCAATCATTATATTAAACAACATACGTGACACCATTACCGTTTAAATTTGATTAATAAACTTTAGATTCGAACGCATTGATGTTGAAAAACTTGAACTATTCCAACTATTAAAACTTCCCACAAACAACTCGTTTCCACTTGATAAAATGGCTGACATTGCCTATAGAGGGCAGGAAATTCCAACCGATCCCGTGCTGCCATCTAATGAGGAATAATTGAACTATTGGTATGAGAAATTTAAAAATGCAGTTTTATAATTTCTGCAAAAGCATGGAATTTATTGCCCCAAGCTTTCATGGTGTAATTACAGTTACCGAGTATTTTAAATTAAGAATTGGGCAATGCTATTACTTTGATCATCTGTAGCAATTTATGCGTTGGTGTTTCCAAACCGGTTCCAACCATTGAGGTGATGGTGGATCTAGGCTTGTATTGTGGGAATAACTGTTAGTCAAACTTTTCCACAAGGATGACCTAGACTTTTTAGTATTTATTTGCAATAATTTGTATTGTTAAACTAAACAGAAAAATTACTTTGCAAATTATCCATTTTATTTGACCTATCCCGACTTAAGTATAACTTTGTTGGTTATGTATGGTCTTGAGATATTCTTTTCTACAAAAAGATTTTAAGTGCTAGAACCGGGAGATTAGTTAACATTATCTCGACAGAAGAAATTTGTTGCCATGTAAGGATTATAAAGTTGTTTTTCTTTCTTTATAGTTTGTAGATAGAAGTCTTGGAATATAAGGATGTACCAACTTCTGTGTGTATTATGTGTTTATGTATATAATACCAAGGTAAAGCAACAAATGTTTGGCTGTACATATACGATAATTTAAACCATGTAGAGGATATTAGCATGGCCCTTGTGCAAGGATGAAATGCAAAATCAACATGCAGGATCATTGCCCAAGGTTGACCAATAAAATTTGGGATCTTTCCACATTTTTAAATATATCTATTCACTTCTGAAAGCAAAAGCTTTGCAGAACAAGGTTCTTCATTAATGTAGTTTATTGATTCAATTAATTGGTTCAAACAATGAGAGATACCACAGTTTTGGGCAGTACATGAACACCAACTACGCAGTATGTTGCTTATAAACAGATTTATTGAATGAATACCGAAGTCTTTCAAATATTATGTTGTATGCGCTGTAATTATTGCTTTAATATATATTTAGTTATACTGATCAGATGTTGGAATTAGAAGATGAGACTTGGAAATAAGCTACAAACTATGAAGATGAAATTCCTATCTAAAATAGAGAGAAAATTAAGAATAAACAGTGAAAAATGCACATTCTAGAAATGAAACACGTAAAAGAAATTTTTAATTGGTTAGGGCATATATTGAGAACAGAAGAAAAAAGACTGTCATTAATGATGAAAGTAAAAGTAAATGCGAGATAGAACAATTTTTTGCTATAGTTCCTGTTACATAAATTTTATAATGAAACATTTAGATGTCTGATATGAAATTGCATCCAGTTGCAGATCATACCAGTGATTTAAATCCAAATACTCAAAAAGTATTATCTGTTTCACATTCCTGTTTACCATCTGTGGTCTCGTGGGTACTCTCTTGTGGCAGAATAGATTCTTTCTTGGCCGCAGCACTCCAGTCCACATCTGAACACTTTATGTCAACATCCGTTTGTGTACTGCGTGCCTCACAGACGACTTTCTCAGCATCTGTCTGCATACCCATTTCTTCAGATGCAGGTTTGGCAAGCAGTTCTTTCACTTGTTCCTCCAGAGACCTGAAATAAGAAGCGAATCAATAATGCTGAAATCGGATTTTGCTCGGCTGTTCTGTGTTATTACTGGTCTACATTTATGAAATGAAACTTGATGGTTTAAAAATGTTGATGCCTAAGAATTTTGATGTAACATATTAAATTGTTATGACACCCATTTATGTTCCATGGTTTCCTAAAATGGGGATTGCCTTTTTTGATATTATTTATAATCAAACCATTACATTATATACAGACTGTACCAGTATCAGCTTCTCAATCTGAAGAACTTTATATAAATCCTCAGTTACCGAGATTCTCTATAAAATATCTTCACCACTTACACCCATTCGTGTGATAAAATAAATTGGACCGTCACCCCAGGAGTTACATTTATGTTTCTCAGATACAAATTTTTATACCATCTACCAAGAATTGGAAAGAACTCACAGATGAGCTCATCTGAATATACACCTTCTTCTTCTTCTTCTTCACCTTTTGTGTGTGTGTGTACACCTGAATAGCAGACTTATTTGATCAGATCTTGTTTAACAGAAACGTGAGAATTTTTTTCTCTTTTGACAACTGATTCTCCAGGTCCTTTTGACAACATTATTAAATCCAATATCAGACTTACAGGATCTGATTCATATTTAACTATGTCTTTAATATGTGTTAATTAATTTTTTAATTTCACAGGCTTCGAAGTTAACTTTTATAGTCAGTTCAGCTTTATGTGCGTTGCTAGCATACTGCTAAACTGTCAGCCATGTAGTGAAAGGCCTTTTCCAGTATGATAGAGGTTAATAAATTACTCTAGAACATCCAGATTTTTGACAAACCTGATAGTTCCATAAGCTTCATTTAGACTGCTATTTAGAGCACCGTTTGATGACTGAAGCGCAGAAATATGTTCTGTTTTTTTCTGCAGCTCCTCCGTTGCTTCCTGCACCAATTTCTGTAAGACAGCTTGTGCTTTGAGAGCTTTCTGCAAAGTTTCAGTTAGTTGTGCGCTCCCTTTAGACTCGGCACCAACAAACTCTTTTATCTCCTGCAGGTACTTGGAAGTCTGAAATGATGAACCATCACATGATAGAAGATTATATATTACAAAAAAGTGCCTAAAATTGGACATGGTTCAACTGTGAATCTGTCTTTATCTTATCCTGAGCATAAGAGTGGAAACTGATGTAAAATTAAATAAGTAAAGAGAAACTTAAATGTGAGAATTTAACGTAAAACAGTCAGTTCGTGTTATGTTTTATACCTTTTTTCTATATTGTGCCTCATGGAATTTATCTGAGAAGGAACCATGCTGTAAAAAATGTGAAAATATTACATCTGAATACCAATAAAGTGGATGCAGAATACTTCCAGATGCTGCTGGAAAAACAACAAAGAAAGTTACAGTGGAACCACGGTTCCAGAGAATTTGACGTAAATACGTCTATACGGTAAGGAGTTTATATAGTGGCTTTATTCTAAATATTTTCTTTATACCCGCTTTACAATTGATTAAAGTTTGATTAAGACATTGCTTATTTAACATAAATTAGTTACGCTTAAGATGGGTCTGTGGTAGCTGAAATATGTTATAAAATTTGTACATTTTAGAGTATCAACATATCGTGCAAATACCATATCTATACAAGATTTTGATCTAGTAGTACTACATTGAGGATTTGTCATCAACATTAAGCCAAACGTTTCCTCCATAAATGTGACAAAGCTTTGATTTTCCTCCTCCTTTAAATCAATGTTAAAATCTCCTGTCAATATTATCGGCATTGTATTAGGATTTTCTATGGCCATAATTGAAAACATCTTTGTATAATTTCTCAAATGACTCAAAATAAGTCTCTTACAATCATCAATATATTCCCTTGTATGTTCAGCATTATTTTTTGGGGGAACTTTAGGTTCATTATCTAATACTTCTATTTTTTTACGTTTTCTGTACTGTCTCATATATTCTGCGTTATGGAGTCTTTTAGCTTCAATGTCATCCATCTTGTACATAGTATGACGCAACAAATTAATGCAACAATAGATTTCTTAATAATTTTTATATAAGATAAGTACCTTTGACATTGTAAAACGTTTTTACCAGCACAAAATTATCAAGTCTACGACACACTTCTTCTACAAGCGATTCACAGCTTAGCTCTTTCCACAATAACGAAAGCGGATTGTTGACGGCAGTAACGTAACACAACAATGCCGAGTAAACAGATGACGTTTCCTAGGTAACATAACAATGCATACAAGCTGACCATTGTTGTCAGTCCATATTTACAAATTGTTGATATTTCCTAGGTAACCATCTTACACTTTTTTGCGGAATGACACTGACCCTTCCATATAGACGTATTTACGTCAAAAGAAAAAAGCAAGGGAGAAAGAAAGGAAGCAAGAATAAAGAAAAACTTTGTTCTGTTCAGTATCATTGTCCTGTAAATTTATAATATGAATTTCTGGTTCACAAAAGTAAATACCTAGGATAAATACTGCAACAAATTTATCTAAAATTATGTGTCTTAAAAATTAGTGAAATGGACAAATGTTGAGTTCCACTAGTATAAACAAGTTTTACTGTATAATTATTCCCTGAAGGTTTGTGAGAATGATTGAATCATTACACTGTAATTATGTTGGACGCTGTTTATTGCCGACTTCTTTACTTTGAGCCCTACCAAATATTTGGTTAGACATTGAACTCAGGACCAAGGTTGTGATATTCTGCTGGCTGCTACATACCTCAGGTATGGCGATATAAAAGAATGGAGTGTTGGTGGAATAATGATTTGTAGGGGAAAACAAAATAGTCAGAGATAATTTCTGTTGCACTGTCACTCTGTCCACCTTAAATTCCACATGGACTGCACTGGAATCAAACCTGAATCTTCAGTGAGAAGCTAGTATGTAACCACCTGAGCTAAGACAAAATTTTATTAAGAACTGTCTGCTACTGACTAGTTTTCAAGCATGGCCTCTGAGCAAAGATGATTAATTTCTTGCAGGTCCAAAGTTTACTGAATTACATCCATGAAAAGTACAGCATTCATCATTTGCTGTAGTAGACTACTCATTTGTATGCTTCATACTATTGCTATAAGTCTTATGGAGGCAATGACTAATTCCATGGTGCAAAGTCTTTCTTGAAACACTTACAGTTCCCTGATTTTATGAAACCTAAACATTCATTCCCATGTTTACAGATATCTGTAATTGTATCCTATCGTGAGCCAAATCAACCCAGTCCACACCCTATTTTTCTAACAGCCATGTTGATATTGCCCTCCTATCTATGCCAAAGTATCTTCCTATTAGATTTCCTTACCAAAATTATGTATGTATTTCTCATTCCATCCATGCAGCTACAAGCGTCACCCATCTTAACATCACACTAGAAGGATGCAACTTATTAAACTCCTCATTAAGTAATTTTTCTGCATCTTTTTAATACTCTCTCTCTTTCTGCTCAGCACTTTATTATCAGAATCCTTGATCCAAGTTCATCCCTTGCAGTGAAAGGTCATATCAATGTACGTACTAAATAACACTTTATTACCTCTGGATCATTAGTCATTTCTTTGCATAAATTCACAGGTATTTTCTTCTTTTCCATTTTCAGTCTCCCCACTTCAGCTGTTAGAAATAAACATTTATCAGAACATGACGTCATATTGAAACTGAGATCCAATTCATTAAAATATTATGATCTGAATGGACGAACAAACATACTATATGCATGCCTATATATGTATATATTCACATTTTGAATTTATTGCAGTGGAGCTCACAATAATACAAAACCTGCTAGCAGTTTGTTTCTGAGGGACTCGCATTATTGTTCAAACTTCATGGGACTATGGCAATATTTTTCCTAGAATATGTTGTAAATTACATTTTTGTTTTTCGAGTTGGAAGGAGGTGAAGGTGGTACTGTCAAACTGTTAGTTAATTGGTAACCAGGGTTTCTTTTACGCATAAACAGATTGCAGAAGGTGGAAGAAAACCATTTGGTGATTCTTAATCTGAAAGAATATGTAAGGAAAGAAAGTTATCAATATAGAATATGCAGTAAAATATGTGATACTGTATATAATTGCTGTAATAGAAACAAAGACTCAGCGTGAAAATCTTGAAAGTAATTTCTGTTTGTTTTTATTCTGAATAAGCTTTTATTTTTTTAAAAAAAATTTCAAAAGATTTACTATAGTATCTGGGACTCCAAAACTTCAGTTCCCTTCACATTGTAGACGTTTAACTATTTTGCATCTACAATAATTTCTCTGCTTTATGCATGACAAATTATCATATTATTAATAATTACTCAAAAGCTTTGCATTTTAGACTTAATTTTTCATGGACATTTCTCGCCTATGGGTCACAGTTTGACCAACTTTGATTTATTTTTTAGCTTCTGTTACTTGGTCCCTTCGTATAGTTTGATTTTCCCAGTGGTCATATAATCTACATATAATTGTTTCATGTTCTATTGGAAACCTCTCCTTCATCAAGCCCCTTCATGATTTTCCAAAATGATTTTTGTTTTCATTCGCATGCAAACTCCACAAACAAACCTCTGAGTGCAACCATCTCAGATTCGTATTTCTTCTGCTGTTCTGTAGTCTTTTTCTGGATATCGTGGAAGCGAACATGAGTCTCCTGCAAATTGGTCCCCAGTTGCTGTGCTGCCTCGCATGTTCTCTCGAGTCGTTTGTGATCTTGATCCAGTTTCTCCATTTCACTATAAAAGCAATAAAACATATCAAACTACTATTTTCAAAATATGTGTCTTGTGAATTATGTCAAATGACAAACAAGAAATTTTTAAATCTTTAGACAAAAGCTGCATTGAACTGGCTCAGGTAATGACCCAGTGCCTGGCTACAGTTACATCTAATAAGTTTATGCGTTCCATGAGGTCACAGCCACGTGACTACAAGCTTCTGATGGAAGAATGTTAGTTATTTATGATGGATGATACAAGTTCCTTTAAACTGAATACAGAACTGACTTCTTCAATATAAATCTTTGCTGACCTCTTGACCTCCTCCACAGCAGTCCTTAATTTAGCTTCCAGGCTGAAGCTGTTCTCCTGGAATGCCTGTTGACAGCGTAGCTGTCCCTGCATCTCTTCTACTTGTCGACTCAGCGTCATATTCTCAAACTGCGGCCAACAGAACAATGTCACTTTCACTGTCATCTGATTTATAGAAGTAAAAGTATAAAATAAGCAACTGGCGCCCTATTTTGGGCATAGTCCATTACCTTGCTCTTTAAATTTTAGTTTACTGAAATCTTTTGGTTTTCACTTAGCACTTTAAATTATTAAGTATACTAATCATTTTACAGATCGTAAGGCAATAGAATTTTAAGAACTTTCATTCTTGCTGCCAAATATGAGACTACCTGACTGGTATGAGTCTGGTCCTTAAGGCAGTCTCTCTCACGGACAGCTGTCTCCAGTTCAATTCGCAGTCGGGACAGTTCTCCCGAGCGTGCTACCCGTTCCTCACCATATTGCTGTACTGCCTCCACTGCTGCCTTAAGCTGGAGGCGCATTGTCTGCGAATCACGACACTCAACTTCCAGCATGCGTTCCAGCTCATGCTGTTTCCACAGAGCTCCATCTAGGTTCAGGCGGCACTCTTCCAGCAACCTCTGATGATAAATCGTATTATTAAGCCTACTTTACAGAAAGGTAAGTTTATTGGATCACCATGCCAGCTGTTTGTCTCAGTCTTTCGCTCGGGACTGTGGAACTTGGTGACAAATTTTAAAGAAATGCAGTACAAATATTATACCACTGGACACCACCACAATCTTGTACTTTTCAATTTCCTAAAATTCATGATAACATCATGGTAGATGCACTAACATCACTTAAATTATGTTCATAAAATGATGCATGGTAAAAATTGACGGTTCCGGAGAATCTGACGTAAATACACGAACGCAGAAGTAGCGTGAAGTGCGATGGGCCTTTATTTGTATAAATAAATGTTTGTAGAACCTAAACCATTTGTGATATGCAGTTATACTTTGTATATTTTAAATGTCACCTCTGCCATCTGCAAGATGAATACTATGAATTTTAACATACCCGTTTCATGCTGAGTTCGTGCACTGCTTCCATTAGTCGCATTTCAAATGAGAGAATCTCTGGCTGCGAAAGAATGTCATTTTGTATTTGGTCCATTATTCAGACCGAACTGTGCAGGCTGAAAGAACAACAGCATAGTTTCAATCAAACATAAGAACACGTACTGAAACCGAAATCATTAGAAACTTCCGCCTTCTATTAGATAGTATGTTATCCATAGCAAAACAGAATTATATATTACAACTATTTACTTATTTATTGCTCACATACATACATGTAGTTAATACTTCTGACAGACTTGTATCAAATCAGAAATTCTATCTCTTTCAGGAAAAGAGTTCGTCCTAAAAAGTATGAAGTAAGTGAGAAATGTCGATATTAAATAATATGTAATTTCAAAAGGTGCGAGAAAAAAACAAGATTGGATAGGTGTACTCTTTAGTGATTGTCGCGCCTTGGGCAATTCTTTCACTAATGTGATCTAAGGTCATTGATGCATAAACATGATCAGAGGACATTTTCGTGTAATAGTATGTTCCAGTGAACCAAGGGTTTCCATTGTTTCCCGACAGTGTAATGTGACTTTTCCTCACCTCTGCCAAATCTAGAAATGTTAGAAAGTTTTCTCAGGTCTTCTCAAGCCATTCTGAGGCGGGCATCCACAGGGCAGATCCCATTGTCAACAATTATGTGGTGATAATTAAGATAATGGTCATTAGAATGAACTTACTGTTTAACATATTATTCGGTTCAGAGTAAAAACAAAAGGAAGTGTTCATTTAATGAACTCTCCACTCAAGCATTAAGCATTCGTTTTCGACATAACGAATTTTCTAATGTCGCTAATTTATTCATGGTAATTTTTTGAATTACTTGTTCTGTTTACCAGAACTTTCCTAGACAGTCTCCACCCAATTTGCGCTCAAAGATATAAACATACATAAATCTACATGCTGAAAGATGTAGAAGATAATTTGTTTTTGATGCAGTAGGATTTGAGAAGAGCTCTTTCATCGTTCTCGCAATATTTACAAAAATTTGCATGAATTGCTTTTTATTCCGGATGAAAGGTTTAGGATTTTGACAAGAACAAGGGTAGCCGAGCTTTGATGTGCCTTGGCAATATAATCAGTAAGGCAGAACACATCCAAGCGGGTGTACAGCAATGTGGGGAGCCGTCCGTCCGTCCATCCATCCAAACTTTCACCTATCTATCCAATTACACTGTGACAGGGATTAGTCAAACCCACGCGGATGTATTATCCTGTGATTTATGAAAATGGACTGAAGATAACCACGAAATACTTCAGTCAGAATGGCTGATTCATTGACGCAGACAGAACGCACATTTGACATGTACCACCGGAAAGCCACATCTGTCTCATGCCATTGTGGATTGGATAATATTTCTAGACTGGTTAATAAGGCAATAAGTCCATCGTGATAATTATGTGTGTAGTAAGGAATATACTAGGAACAACCCGTTCTTCAAGTGCCTGAGCACTGCGGGTCTCAACTTTTCGTTGGCTTGATCTATAGACATTTGGTAGGACTCCTTGGACGAGGGATCGGCCCGTCGCAAGGTCTCTACCTGTACACAGGACAGCACAACACAGAAAAACGCGGACAATCATCCATGGCTTGAGTGGGATTCGAACCCACGGTCCCAGCGACTGCGCGGCCACTGCGGACCCCAGTAAGGAATATGTGGACCTTATATGTTAAATAACAGGCATTAACGTTCTTGAAAGAGTATAAATTTCTTAAAGTATAACGTAGAAATTATTTAACCAAAAATTAACAAAATACAGCTAAAAATAAATAGGTCTATATATGAGTAAGTCATACAGCAAACATCTGCGAAATAGCTATAAGTTAGTTCTAGTTAATAAATAAATTTTAATGTTCTCAAATTTGAACATCTGCTAACATTGACAGACCAACTATTAGATAAATGGCAAAATTAAACGACTCACAAAACCATAAAATCTGAGTTACAATTCACGTTTAAAACTTAATGAGAGCTACATTATGAAACACCCGGTTTAGTTCTTTTTGAATCCTTGGATGTAATGGCATATTAAATTCAAGCCACGGCGTCTGTCTTCCAGACGCCTACCACTTAATATATGGCCACATTTTGTAAAAACTCTGAACCACCAATTTTTTTTATGAAAATTCAATTCCGATGACGCCATGTTTAAAGCCCACACTACTTATCCCAATAATAATATTTCATCCGCTTCTTTAACTAAGCCTTTTAGAATTTTCCTTATCGACTTATGGTTGGTGATTAAGTGACCTCGTTGCAAGTGATTTTCTGCAAATCTCATTGTCACCACAGAAAGAAGAAAGACTTTTGCCATTTCTGCTTCGTACTAGGGAGGTAGGAATGGGTTCGTATTTCGACCGGGAGACCGGCTATCCTGACTGAGGATTTTCGTAGTTCTCCTCAGTCTCTCTAGGCAAATGCTGGTCTAGTGTCTTAAAACAAGCCACGACCGTTTCCTTCCACATCCTTCCCAGTTTATTACAGATTAACCTGACTTTAATCGCTACATAACGAACACAGTCTCAAAAGCGCCGTTAGCCCTAAATTTATCAAGAACTAGCCAAATTATACGTAATTTAAAATTATCAGTTTCTCGAGAAAAAAAAACGCAGTCACAAAAAATTGTTCGTAAGTTTGGAGACTTTTATTTGAAACATTTTTCTGGCCAAACCGTTCAAAATCAAAGTCTCCCCACAATTTCTGGTGTGCACCCCTAACAAAAAAAATTGATCTCAATCGGTTGATAATACTGGAGGTGAATTATTACCATTCACGGATTCTACTTCCTCACGCTGCATTCATTTTATTGCGCTTCATGCACATAACTCATTCAACGATTGTGCGCCAACTGACAAAGCCAGCATCCGAGAGTAATAAAAGGTAAGTAGTCAGGAGTGTAAGTTAATATAAGAGGTTGATAAACATCAACCTCTGATTACCTGCAAGATTCGATTACATTTGATTATCTGCAAGGACTCGGTGTTCGGCAGACGCATCTCGTGTAAGAGAACCCAACTTTGTAAATTATTTTAATGACATTAAATTTCAGAAAGTTAAGTTTCGAATGATTTTCAGAAGGAAGTCACAGAAATATCCAAATAAATTAACCCTTTGAATCCAAAACACGTCTAAATAACATAAGAATTAGTCCGTACCGCAAAGAAAACAACTCTTCCCCATCACACAGATGAATTGGTTAATGCTGTTTAAGGAAATAATAGCTATTTACACCAAGAATCATGCAAAACCCATAAATACAAAATGCAGCGTTACTAATTCTTAGAGCAGGTGGTGTGTACGGTTACCACTCGGCTTTATAGGGTTAATCATCATTAACTGTTAATGTTATTTTGCTACGCTGTACTAACTACGGAGGTTAGTAATGCCGAATGCAGTACAGCAAGCTAAACCGGGAGAAAGAATGTCATTTTGTATTTGGTCCATTATTCAGACCGAACTGTGCAGGCTGAAAGAACAACAGCATAGTTTCAATCAAACATAAGAACACGTACTGAAACCGAAATCATTAGAAACTTCCGCCTTCTATTAGATAGTATGTTATCCATAGCAAAACAGAATTATATATTACAACTATTTACTTATTTATTGCTCACATACATACATGTAGTTAATACTTCTGACAGACTTGTATCAAATCAGAAATTCTATCTCTTTCAGGAAAAGAGTTCGTCCTAAAAAGTATGAAGTAAGTGAGAAATGTCGATATTAAATAATATGTAATTTCAAAAGGTGCGAGAAAAAAACAAGATTGGATAGGTGTACTCTTTAGTGATTGTCGCGCCTTGGGCAATTCTTTCACTAATGTGATCTAAGGTCATTGATGCATAAACATGATCAGAGGACATTTTCGTGTAATAGTATGTTCCAGTGAACCAAGGGTTTCCATTGTTTCCCGACAGTGTAATGTGACTTTTCCTCACCTCTGCCAAATCTAGAAATGTTAGAAAGTTTTCTCAGGTCTTCTCAAGCCATTCTGAGGCGGGCATCCACAGGGCAGATCCCATTGTCAACAATTATGTGGTGATAATTAAGATAATGGTCATTAGAATGAACTTACTGTTTAACATATTATTCGGTTCAGAGTAAAAACAAAAGGAAGTGTTCATTTAATGAACTCTCCACTCAAGCATTAAGCATTCGTTTTCGACATAACGAATTTTCTAATGTCGCTAATTTATTCATGGTAATTTTTTGAATTACTTGTTCTGTTTACCAGAACTTTCCTAGACAGTCTCCACCCAATTTGCGCTCAAAGATATAAACATACATAAATCTACATGCTGAAAGATGTAGAAGATAATTTGTTTTTGATGCAGTAGGATTTGAGAAGAGCTCTTTCATCGTTCTCGCAATATTTACAAAAATTTGCATGAATTGCTTTTTATTCCGGATGAAAGGTTTAGGATTTTGACAAGAACAAGGGTAGCCGAGCTTTGATGTGCCTTGGCAATATAATCAGTAAGGCAGAACACATCCAAGCGGGTGTACAGCAATGTGGGGAGCCGTCCGTCCGTCCATCCATCCAAACTTTCACCTATCTATCCAATTACACTGTGACAGGGATTAGTCAAACCCACGCGGATGTATTATCCTGTGATTTATGAAAATGGACTGAAGATAACCACGAAATACTTCAGTCAGAATGGCTGATTCATTGACGCAGACAGAACGCACATTTGACATGTACCACCGGAAAGCCACATCTGTCTCATGCCATTGTGGATTGGATAATATTTCTAGACTGGTTAATAAGGCAATAAGTCCATCGTGATAATTATGTGTGTAGTAAGGAATATACTAGGAACAACCCGTTCTTCAAGTGCCTGAGCACTGCGGGTCTCAACTTTTCGTTGGCTTGATCTATAGACATTTGGTAGGACTCCTTGGACGAGGGATCGGCCCGTCGCAAGGTCTCTACCTGTACACAGGACAGCACAACACAGAAAAACGCGGACAATCATCCATGGCTTGAGTGGGATTCGAACCCACGGTCCCAGCGACTGCGCGGCCACTGCGGACCCCAGTAAGGAATATGTGGACCTTATATGTTAAATAACAGGCATTAACGTTCTTGAAAGAGTATAAATTTCTTAAAGTATAACGTAGAAATTATTTAACCAAAAATTAACAAAATACAGCTAAAAATAAATAGGTCTATATATGAGTAAGTCATACAGCAAACATCTGCGAAATAGCTATAAGTTAGTTCTAGTTAATAAATAAATTTTAATGTTCTCAAATTTGAACATCTGCTAACATTGACAGACCAACTATTAGATAAATGGCAAAATTAAACGACTCACAAAACCATAAAATCTGAGTTACAATTCACGTTTAAAACTTAATGAGAGCTACATTATGAAACACCCGGTTTAGTTCTTTTTGAATCCTTGGATGTAATGGCATATTAAATTCAAGCCACGGCGTCTGTCTTCCAGACGCCTACCACTTAATATATGGCCACATTTTGTAAAAACTCTGAACCACCAATTTTTTTTATGAAAATTCAATTCCGATGACGCCATGTTTAAAGCCCACACTACTTATCCCAATAATAATATTTCATCCGCTTCTTTAACTAAGCCTTTTAGAATTTTCCTTATCGACTTATGGTTGGTGATTAAGTGACCTCGTTGCAAGTGATTTTCTGCAAATCTCATTGTCACCACAGAAAGAAGAAAGACTTTTGCCATTTCTGCTTCGTACTAGGGAGGTAGGAATGGGTTCGTATTTCGACCGGGAGACCGGCTATCCTGACTGAGGATTTTCGTAGTTCTCCTCAGTCTCTCTAGGCAAATGCTGGTCTAGTGTCTTAAAACAAGCCACGACCGTTTCCTTCCACATCCTTCCCAGTTTATTACAGATTAACCTGACTTTAATCGCTACATAACGAACACAGTCTCAAAAGCGCCGTTAGCCCTAAATTTATCAAGAACTAGCCAAATTATACGTAATTTAAAATTATCAGTTTCTCGAGAAAAAAAAACGCAGTCACAAAAAATTGTTCGTAAGTTTGGAGACTTTTATTTGAAACATTTTTCTGGCCAAACCGTTCAAAATCAAAGTCTCCCCACAATTTCTGGTGTGCACCCCTAACAAAAAAAATTGATCTCAATCGGTTGATAATACTGGAGGTGAATTATTACCATTCACGGATTCTACTTCCTCACGCTGCATTCATTTTATTGCGCTTCATGCACATAACTCATTCAACGATTGTGCGCCAACTGACAAAGCCAGCATCCGAGAGTAATAAAAGGTAAGTAGTCAGGAGTGTAAGTTAATATAAGAGGTTGATAAACATCAACCTCTGATTACCTGCAAGATTCGATTACATTTGATTATCTGCAAGGACTCGGTGTTCGGCAGACGCATCTCGTGTAAGAGAACCCAACTTTGTAAATTATTTTAATGACATTAAATTTCAGAAAGTTAAGTTTCGAATGATTTTCAGAAGGAAGTCACAGAAATATCCAAATAAATTAACCCTTTGAATCCAAAACACGTCTAAATAACATAAGAATTAGTCCGTACCGCAAAGAAAACAACTCTTCCCCATCACACAGATGAATTGGTTAATGCTGTTTAAGGAAATAATAGCTATTTACACCAAGAATCATGCAAAACCCATAAATACAAAATGCAGCGTTACTAATTCTTAGAGCAGGTGGTGTGTACGGTTACCACTCGGCTTTATAGGGTTAATCATCATTAACTGTTAATGTTATTTTGCTACGCTGTACTAACTACGGAGGTTAGTAATGCCGAATGCAGTACAGCAAGCTAAACCGGGAAACATAAAATCAAAGAAAGCGGTCGTAACCAATTTTAAGACATTATCATCTGATTAAATCAGAAATAGATAATTACAGGGCGACGAAGGAGACCGTTCTCAGGAAGAGGAGGAGAGGATATATCTCAGATAATAGACAACGTCCAGAGTTAAGAAAAACATAAAGAACCAGCCATTCTCACTAACAATTGGGGAATATTTTAACAATGACATTATTCACCGGCATTTTCTAAAATGTAAATGTCATTGTGTTTACTTCACTGCAACCCCGTTCAGTATTCGACGCGGTCGTCTCGACGCTTAACCTTCTTTAGTGATTCAGTTAAGACAGACGTCCCTGTCACACTGTCACAGTGTCTGTCCATCATATTCGCTCGTGATCTGGTTACATCGAAAGAGTTTGTGCCATGACAAGTTACACTTCTACGCTTCCAAGTCCCTTCCTTTCCTAGTCGCCAACAAATGTCACATGTGGGAAATCAAATGGAAATGAGAAATGCGTACAAAATATTAATCGGAACTCTGAAGAGAAGAGACTACTTCGGAGACATAAGCACACATGTGAAGATAATATTAAAATGGATCTGGAAGAAACAGACTGTCGGGATATTGACTAAATGAAAGAAAATTATCCACCGATCTTTTATTAACACGGCAATGAACCATCAATCGCTTTTCAGGTTTCATGAAAGGTGGGGAATTTTAAGATGACCGTCTTCTGGGATGTAGCGCCGTGTAGTCTGGTAGAAGTAGGCCTATACCGACGTTTCAGATATACTTAATGTCTCGGTCATCAGGGCGACGGAGGCAATTAGCACCTTTGAAACGAATGTATATTTCTACCAAACTACAAGGCGAAACACCCCAGAAGACAGTCATCTTCAAATTACCCATAATCGTCACCTTCAGAACCTGAAACCTCGCCCGACAGGGAATTTCTTTATTAACCAAGAGACTATAAGCTTTTAAAGTACTGTCCTGCATGGAATTTGTACATACAAAACATTTCAAGGAGCTAGGCCTACATATGTTGGTTTTCCCTAGTCCCTCCAGATAAATGCATAAATACTAGCTTAAATTAGGCCAAAGCCGCTTCCTTCCATATCCTTTACATTTATTTATTCATTAATCATGATATTATCCAACGCTATATACTGTAAGGTACCGACATAATCACCAAATAAGTTACAAAGTAAACACGCAACTGACTTTAATACCGGCCCATCTCAGAAAATACAGTTTCAATTTAAAGGAGTAGAAAGTATGGCATCTTCCAGTGACAACACATTCATCCCAAGTTTTGTGAAAATAGACAAAACTAACGACTTGTTCAAGGGCTATTTGAGGTGGGGGAATACACTCAACAACACAGAGAGGTGAGGGGAGGGCATGGTGGTACCATACACTTCAGTTTCCAAATAATAAGTACGTAACTCGCTAAGAATTGCTTCTGTGTAAAAAAAAATAGTTATTTAACAAAGGATTCGTTTCTCTGTTTCACACACGACTATTTTATTTTATCAGGAAATAAAATAAATGAAACAAAAACTAAACAAATGAGACACATCAATTTAGTCCTTCTTCCTTAATTTTAATATTCTCTTGAATTCAGCGAAATAAAGCTGAGGTAGGTTCGGCTAGATTTTGTGTGCATAAAATAGCAAATATAAATCGAATTTTGGTGTTGATTGGCTGAATACTAACCACGCCCCACTCCTGTGTTTTATATTCTAAGCTAGGAGCAGGGGGGAGGCTTGTTGGAGCACAAGAAAGAAGTAACCTCTTGAGACATTGTGACGTCAAATTAATGTTATTCCAAGCAAATAAAAGCTTCCACATTTAAGGAATCAGCAACAGTTGAGGTGCAGACGGTGACCGGGTTGGTAAGGAGGAACATCGGCGCCTATACACAGGTAACTACAAATATTTTCTATAGCCTTTTCAGAACACGTTAAATTTGATCACATAATTTTTATGAAATTTCTTTCCAAAAGGTCTATTACAATGTAAAAAGTGTGTTCCGTTTTGATGTAAATGTAGTAAACGAATATCATATTTGTTAATCCGAGTGCCTTATTGACTTTAATGTTTCATTATTCCGAAAAGTTATTGTTATAAAATTTTGTACTCTTCGTATAGAGACGCAGAGACATACTTCGCTACCCATATTCTTAGATCGGTCCAAATCTGATTCCTCTTCTAGAGCTACAATCATTAAACAGTCTTCAACAATTTAAAATCTAATCCAGTTTCGTTTTAATTATACGACTGATAATCCAATAACATACACATGTAACCCATCACTCTCATAACCATAAATTGCACCTTGGTTTCCACAACGTTGCATTAGCAATAAATATTGTGTCCGTGTATTTCTTTAAATATATGCGTATGAGAAATAATTTTATGATAAAACGAATGTAAAAGTTTAATCTCAAAAGCGTGATAGAAAATAAATCACTTGTAAATAGGGAGTAATGATTTGGCCTGAATTCTTCAACTGCTTAGGACAAGAAGTGGAGGCGGGCTTTTGTAAACAAGATAATAAACATTCGGGTTCCTTAAGGGCGGGACATCTACGGACTACTAAGCAACTAGTAACTTCTCAAGGAGTACTCTGCTTCATGCAATTGTAACAAATTTTTACAAAAAATCTCTTTTAAAAAATCGCTGGAGAGAACAGAAGAAAATAATAGCAGATAAATTTATATAAAAAATACAATTTTTGATAATGAAATATGCATTAAAGTGATTTAGGGTGGGACTTTCTTTGTGGCAGTCATGGGTCCCATTCTGAGTAATTCCTTGATTGCTTGTCTACATAGACTACTACTCATTTCCACGATGTTATGGCAGCAGAACCTAAGTTGAGATGCACGAATAGAAATTGGTATGAAATTACATCATGCATCGACATCAGTACATTTTAAAATATTTTCCTACTACGAACAAGGTTTTTACCTCACATTTAATTAAGCCAATGTATGAAATAAATAACAACTCACCAAAAGGGTTAACTATTAAAATCAATTACAACAGACGGACTGTAGCATAAACCTTATGCTAGCGTATTTGTTATTACAAATGTCATTATCACGGAACAAAGAACATAATACAAGACAGTCTTCGTTATAAGAGACAATGGACAATTGTCAAATGCCGAGTACAATCTTGGCTTGTTGATTCTGAAACAACATTTTTGGTCGTTTGGATTTCGATCACGGGTTTACCAAGTTCCTGAAATAATCGATAGCGTTGTATGTTATTTTACAAAATAAAATATACAAGGAACAATTACTTCATGAACTGCATATGTTTGGCGGCTGATGATGTCTACTGTATTATATGATTTGTAAAATTTAGTAATTTTCTGATCCTTCAACCATCGTCCCTGGGACGCCAATTTTTATTCTTAATCTACGTTCTGCATTTCGTAAAACATGCTTATGATATATCTGCATTTGCCATGCACTAATAACATTTGAACCTACTGCGTAGTTTTCACAGAGCTGAACATGTAGACAAACATGTTAAAAGTAGGCCTAACTACTGAGAGTCCGAAACAAAACTTTCAAAAATAAGCCACTTTACTTCACTCGTCTTTATACTGCACTAAAGAACGGTTAAACGGATTTTCATTACATCTGACACTGCGCAATTTTACTAAATTTTCGAAACAGATTCCAATTTTGGTTCAGATCGGACAACAGTAACGGGCACTTTACATAAAGATCTACATGCATTTCTACGCGCGGAAGTGGCTGGGGAATCCCCAGAATACATTGCTGATTATTACCATGGTTGTCTGGGGAATCCCCAGCCAGCAGAAACCACTGGGGATCCCATGTATGATGACATCATCATCTAGCCAGGCACCCCTTCCGGGCAAAGGTAACTAACCCGAAAACTCTGACATCACTACTGGCATTCACAACGTTCGGAGGTAAAATTATATTCAACTCAGCACAATTGTACAATTTTTAAGTTATTAGTGTTTAATATTACCATATAAAAAGGCAACTGGTCGAAGTTCTAAAATCTTTACAGTTAATGTCGTGAAATATCATTGATAATATACACCTTTTTCTAAATGTTTGAATGTAAAGTCATAATCGCATTATCATTTATTTGCATAATCTGTAAGAGTGAAACAGAGGATGACATTTCATATTCATTGTAAGAAAAACACTACAAATTTTTTACGAAAAATTGAAATGAATGCCATTTTGTTCATGTTGCAGACACTAGAATGACCAGCAGTATGGTAGCAACATTGATATTAACGTTAGGCGTGTATCTCGTTCTACAATATCAGCATCACGCAGCTGTGGATGCTGCCCCATCCAGTTCTGACGTGGTCGCAGCTGGTGGTAGCAACCTGGAAGGACCTGGCCAGAGAGGACGCAGCCGTTCATTTCTCCAGACACCCCCTCGATCACCACAATATATGAGGGCACGGTTGGTGCCCGTGGAACCCGCTGCAGACATTCTGAATGACTTTATAATAGATGATGAAAGCATGGATTTTAATAAGCGACAGTCTGATGATTATGGCCACATGAGGTTTGGTAAACGAGAACAGTTTGACGATTATGGTCATATGAGGTTTGGACGCAGTCTTGATTAATCAATATTATAGTTCCCATAAGTGTTTCTTAAAGAGAAATATAAAAACAAAACTGGCAGAGAATTAAATTAGGATCAGTCTTTAGACTCGAGGCCATTTCGTTATTATTTATAATGTACGTTAAAATACTGTTTTATTATTAAATGTCATATAATATAAGCAATGAAGTTTCGAAACCTTAATTTCTTTCCTAGAAGCAACCATGAATGAAAATTGACCATGTTGTACACTAGATGATCATGTTAATTGTGAAACATTTTCTGTCATACTTTTCAATTATTATACCTATGTTGTTCCAATATCAGACTTCTTTGGTGAGCTACAATAAAATTTAATGAATAAAAATATTTTAAAATGTGTCCTTGATTGTAAGAACATTATCACAATATAGAATACCAAAACCCATGACCTAGAGCAGTGGTATTAAACCTTTTTTGTTCGCGTACCTTTAGATACAATTTCTCTTCAACTTTGTACCTCCAAAGTTGTTGCTGTATAATTCAAATTATACATAGTATATAATCTACATCTAAAATAAATTAAATAAATTACATCCAAAACAACGTATTAAATAATAAGTTTTAAATGAGTGAAAGGATAATCAAGCTATTAAATAACAAATATATTATTGCCTATCATATAAAAATTAATAAAGGAACAAAGGTATTTTAAATAAATAAATAAATAAATCCGTGGTGTAACACCTCCAGAGAGCCAAAACCGACTAGCTTGACTGCTGGCCTCACGTTCACATGCCTAAGCAGAGGTGAACGATCATTCAACCAGACAAAGGTATTTTAGCAAAGCAAATTTATATGTTTAAATCCCGCCCAATAGTGTTCCTAAGCATTATGTGGAATAAAATGAAACTAGCCGCCCAGATAAGAATCGCATAAAGGGGAAAGAGAGAAATGGCGCTCCCAAATAGAATGTCCTTACGTCCGGTTCTCCTGTGGCTAACCCTAAATCTGGCCCTGATTATTCAGTACTTATCATAAAATAATATATATTTTTTTAAATTTCACGTACCCCAGGTTGAATACCACTGACCTAGAGGACTTACAATGAGGAAATCTGAAATTACTCCGCCTCTTTCAACCATTCAAACATAACAATCCAAAACACTCACAATGACAGAGTAAATTCAGGTTTTCCTACATAAGATTCATCCTGCATTTCAGGACTTAAGCAAAAATAGTATTCTTACTTTATTTGCAAGGCAATGTAAACGATGAGGTGTCTTCTAAAGGAAACGTCTTCTCAATTTGGAGGTTCCTGAGTCTGGAAACAAAACACACATGAATTAATTAACAAGCAACAGTTTTACTTGTAATTGCTTATTCTGTAACCCTTCATAAAAATTATGGTCACATGGCTTATTTTAACAAAGGCAGTACAATTCAGAGAAGTGTCTAATAATACGTAATATTCCACAACATAATTGTTCCAAATTTGTATCACTCCCCTCTGCAATTATTTACAGATTGATTTTCTTGGATATAAATTGTAATGAAACATGAAAAGTATATTCTGTAAGTACGCTTCCAATGGTATGTAACAAATGACAGGATTTCTCTTGTAAAAACACAGTAAAACATATTCAAACACAATTCAGTTATTATGAAGTTAAATTTAGTAATTATTAACAATATTTCCCAGAATTTAACTTCATTTCACAGTGGTTATGCAGACTAAGACACCATGGACTTTGGCTGCAGAAACAAGGATCTTGAGTATGAATCCTGCTTGGACCATAGTCATTATGTCGTGTCCTAAATTGAATACAACTTGCTATGGGCCAATCTTCCAAAAATTAACACTATTGGGTCATTTTCACTCTCAAAACTAGACAATCCAGACCATGTACATAGATGCGTCAACAGACAACTGCTCTCTGGATTGTAAGTGTCATTGTGATGAGACATTTACTCCTGAAGCTGTCAAAAATTACACCGAAGTTCTGAAAAAATATCGCAAGCAGATCTGGCAAAATTTAAGTTTGCCAATGATGCAGAATCACTGCTGAGCAGAACAACTGCCTGCATAGGAAACCCACATATTTTCATTTCACAATCAAATTTATTACATAATATTAATTGAATATACACATTTCTTTTAGTAAAAAAAAAAGTCAACATTACATAATTTAAGTAGACAGTTTGAGTATAATCATAACATTGACTAAAGGTTATTTGATTGTTGCTACATAAAAGTGGGACAATTATACTGATGACCTAACCTCAAAATAACTTATAAATTAAACTCAAAAAGTGAAATGCATTGCTATTTTAAAATTACATGTGTAATGACAATTTCTGACACAAAGCATTAACACACTATTGTATTGTCTTCATATTATTGGCAGTCTATTTTCTTTGATTATATGACTGGAAACCTGCAGTCTGTGGTCCTTATGCATTCTTTGTACTTCAGCGATATGAATGCTACTACGCTGTTCTAAATAACTTTAAAAAAGCCATTAACAGTGTGAAGTACAATCTTGGATGTAAAGTTATAAAACTTACTTTCAATAACATCAGGATGTTCTAAATCTTTTTAATAAAATTTTAAGTCTCTAAAAGGTTTAGGTATTTATAATTTGGCCAAATTACTTAGTTTCCATTATTATCATCACTTGTTTACACATGGTGATACAATCAAACACTAATCAAGTAAATTTTTTATTTGTTGCAATTATAAATATATTACTTTTCAAAGTGAAGTACTTAAAAATAAGTTAAGAGTAGATGTTTTCTATATTCGGTTTTTCAGACATTACTTGAAAGTTTTGCACCACTGTGATGTTCTTAACTGTCAACTTACAAATAATATTTCACACAGAATTTATGGTACATTCATGAACTGCTAGAATACAAAATTTCAAAAGCCTGGACCAATGCTTCATAACTTATCACCATCAAACCAATAGCAAATATTTTTTTTTTTGTGGATTCATGTTGTTTTATCTTCACCCCCCTCCCCCCTCAAAGAATGTAATACCGCCACTGCAAACTGACTGTATCAAAATGCAATTAAATGATGCTGTCACTTAACTATAACTGTGGGCAGTAATGATCAGTTGACAGAAGTAAACACAAAATCAAACCTGTACCTAATTCCAAACCCAAATCTGAATCAAACTAGTTCACAACAAACATTTGACAAAAATATAGTATCGGAGGCCATTTTCCCTCCCCTTCCTCTCCACAGCACACTCAATTTGATCTACAGTATGCAGTCATGTGAATGCCATAACATTAAAAGCTGACATAAAATGTTTTACATTTTAGAAGTGTTTACAGAACAGAAAATACAACCAACGAATCACCGCTAAATTATGCCAACATAGTTTCCAATTTGCTCTAAGATAAGATGAAATCTGTAGCAGAATATTCCTGCCACTTGATTTGATTTTATGCTACAAATTCTGTAATAGATAAGGTTCTCTTAGATGAGAATAATTTTCAGACATTTTACCCCAGTATTTTGAAATCGTACATGGCAGTGGTTGCCGTCACATAAAATCAAGACAAAATGTAACATAGTCGTGGAAAAAATTATAAAACAAGAACAAAAAATCAACTCCCATTTTCACTAATGCATGCCTTTGAGACAAATGTAAAAAATGTTGCATTCAAGTCTGTGAAGAAAAATGGGTATGTCATTGGGGATGGTGAGGATTGTAACAGGTAACAAGAAGCTCATGGCCTTTGATACAACACTTTAGTCAAACACTTACTACACTGTTTCAACCAACATACACACAATGTTGTTTTCAAACTCAGTAATCCCTTCTAAACCATTCAGGATTGCTTATATAAAAATGCTCATACTGATTTTAACATTTTGCACACACCACAGATTCAACACATTTGGCATAAATTATCAGTAATTCAAAACTTTATATGAAACATTAACATTAGAAGGGAATCTGATATGTAGCCTATGTTCAATCCATAATTTTGCTATGATACAGTTGTCCTATGAATGACTGGCTCACAATTGCACTTAATGTAAACAAAAGTAATAAAACATGTAGTTTGTCTGCAGATACTAATGTCATGCTTAACTTAATACTGTTAACATTATTACCTATTAAATATCTTAAGAAACATGTCACATAATTTAATTCGTTACAGATTCCATAACACTGTCAATTCATGAACTGTTATTTTGCATCGTGAAAAAGAAAAATATATTTCCTCATATGTACTTCATGTCTTCCACTCTTACATGGGAAAGAAAGACATTAATAAACAAATTTATCAAAATCTAAAAGGGATGGTAGCATGAGGATGAACCAGAAAGACATTGCAATCATCACTGTTCGGTGACAATCATTCCTCTCTGTTGTTTGTACACACATGTCAAAATACAATTTTATACAATCTGCAACAGATGATCACTGATTACGAACATGAACGAGATGTTTCATAAGCAAATTCAGCTGCCGTTTCTCATCCAAGTCTCCTGATTCACTGCTAGATGGCTCTGGCAGTTAAATCAGAACTGAGTAGAAATTGTGCAGTCAGTGGGCTGGTCACTCACTACTCATAAATGCACACTTCAAGACCACGAAACCTCACAGGAAGCCAAAGTTCACAGTGGACTGTAGTGATTTAGAAGAAGAAGACAAAAAAATGATGAAAAACTGACCGACTGAACTAGAAATACCCAAGAATGGTACCATTACTTTTTAAGTAAACAGAAACAATGGGCTTGAAAATAAACCATACATTCATACAAATCATCTCCACAAGTCTTACAGGAAAAGTTTAGGAATGTAAAAACAGAAATGGACAGGTCTATACATGGTAAGATTCTGGACAAATTCTTATGCTATGTACAGACATAATAGGTTATATATACATGCTACTGAAAACTGCAAAGATTTTAGCAGCAACATAACGGTAGTAAAATATCCTATGTACAAAACTGTGGTGAATAAACATAGTACAAAACCTTCCAATCATGTGGTGACTAAAGATCCACAAGTCTTACCTCAGTAAGTACAGAACATATGAAGCTATTACAAGCACGTTTCACAAAAGTGCAGTAATTAGTAAACTCCATTGTAACAGAAATGCCAGTAATTATGATCAAGATGCAACCATTCTGCAGCTACAATGTAAAATGACATCCCTGAGTTGAGTCTGTTAATGTTTTGATGCAAATTACAAGGACCTGGTATTGTCTAAAAGTTACTTCAGTCTCGTACATACGAAGTTTAAAATAATTACCAAATTATACATTCCTCTGTATATTTTAATAATTTCACAAGTCATGTATTATTGTTGTTGTCATCATTGTTGTTACACTATACAAATAAATTACAACTCCTCACAAAATAATTTTGAAAAGAAAATAGTTACTGATAAATGTATGCTTATTTATCTGGAAATACAAGTGACAAACTTTAAATGTTTTGTTATAGAAACAAACCACTTCACTAACACAAAAATACACATTTTCATATGGGATTATACCTTGCTTGTTAGAGAGGCATTGATATCCTTAAAACTTGATGGATTTATAAAACTACTAAATACCAGTAATAATCAATAATCCATGGCATAACAGCCCTCTGTGTAATTAAAACCCTGGACACCATATTTATTTACATATTTCACTAGGGTATGGTTGAAAGAATTGGGCTTTCTACCTTTACAAGGCCATGAATGTGTTGGTAGAAGTAAACATGGAAAAAGGTAAGATAACCTCTGTGTTAAGCACCATGTCATAAAGGCATATAAACACATTCTAGACCAGTGGTATTCAACATTTTTTATTGGCGTACCCCCAGATATAATTTCTCTTCAACTTTGTTGGTGTATAATTCAAGTTATACATAGTATATAATCTCCCAAATCGAATGTCCTTACGTCCGGTTCTCCTGTGGCTAACCCTAAATCTGGCCCTGATTATTCAGTGTTTATCATAATTTTTTTTTTAAATTTCACGTACCCCTTAAGATGTCTTCGCGTACCCCAGGTTGAATACCACTGTTCTAGACAACACACTAGATGGAACTGTTTGTTTAACTTCCTGCTTTGACTATTTTATCCTCTGTGCTACCCACTGGAGAGAGCTAGTGCACTTCAGCTCAGGTTTCAATTTGATGGCAAAGAGAAAAAGTCCCTGTACCTCCCAGAATAATATCTTGGCATTAATAATAATTAAAAGTCATACATTCTACTATTACATTTTTTTTCCTTTTAATTTGTTTGCAATTTCATAACAATTACCATTACAGTATGTGAAACATTGTCTAAGAACCCATTTTTATGAGCACAACAACCTAATGTAATCTTAATTACTTTAAAATTCTTAGAATAATATAAAATAACAATTTTGTACAAACTTCCAATTATGCCTTTAACACAATTACTCCGGTCCTGAAATATTTCCCAGATATCCCCTCTGAAAATGCATGCCTTCTCAGAGAAAATATTAAATGCATGTAATACATTTGTACTTCGATGAAACAAACCGCAAATAATAATTAATTAGTTACATAAAATACAATTTTAAATAACTGCCCTTAATGTGAATTAAACTAAAGGTTTCGCTCCTAACAATTTACACTGGTTATACTGACACATCTACAAAGTAACAATACCCTGTACTCTTTAGACATGCATTTCTCATATTGAGGTCTAAATGTGATTTTTAGGTTTCAGTTGTTTGATGTTGAACAGTTTGCTGTATTTTGTTCTTTTTAAGTGTTGAATGACCTGAGTGAAATGTACGATTCTAAAACTGTGTCATCTTTACAGTAAATTTCAAGTAAGTGTGAGAGTTTTAATAATTTGGTATGCAAAATTATTTCATATGATGTAATTTTAAACAATAACTATAGGAATGACCTGTTGCACACAAGACAAAATATCAGTAACAGCCACACATAAATAATAACTCACTTGAGATAAAGTCACCCCCCTTTACTATAAACAGGATGATGTTACAGAGTCCTGCATCCCACAGATATGCTTCCATTCAATCACAATGTCTGATACCCTACAGACTAGATGCAAGCTTGTAGGGTGGTAAGTGCAAAGGTGAATCTGCATGTGCAGTGAATATTCTAATTGGAAAACATCAAGCCCTTCTTGCTTGCTTCCTTGGCTATTCATACGTACCTATCAATCATTAGCATGATATTGTTCAATGCAGTATTGTCATGGTTTAGCATTCTGTAGATTGTTCTATTCTTTTCAGTAGTTCACATGGAACTGACATTCTTCAGCTCTCTGTCCTATTCTTCAGGCCACAACCAATAATTTTTATCACTGACAGTATGTACATACCCTGTGTGTCCATTCGAGTCACACAGATTGTACAAAATCTACTGATGTTTTCACTCGGCATACACCGATTTCATAATTTCAAGATTGTATAATAAGCCTAATTGGTAGCATTTAACATAGAACACATGGATGCAATTTTACAACCAATTTAAGGCTTTTTGTTGTAAAGAAATTTTCCACTTCTTTATAAAATAATTTGCATTTGATGATAAATACCAACTGAACTTCAGACATCTAAATATAATGCATTCACTACAGGAGTACAAGTAAGGTGCAAAACATGTGATATGGGACTTTTGTACTGGTGTTTTGAAGCTTGTCATATCAAATACAAGGCCAGATGTCAGATGGTGGTGGGAGGCTTCAAAATCAGAAAATAAATAGGTATTTAACAGAAATTTATATTTACTTTGCCTTTTGTTACCCAAAGTGAAATGCATTAGTACTGAATCCCTATGTGAGTCAGTATATGTTTTGTAGGCAAGCAGGATCTACAATTTAGAAGACCAAAATGTGGCTGTGATTAACCAAGGTCAGTGCCCTACCATCACCAACTGAACTTCACTTCCTGTAAACTCTTAATTTGTGAAGCCACTGTATCAACTGAACACAAAACCTTGCAAAAGTATAGGAAACATTCCTTGAATGTTGTCGGAATCATTCACTGAGCAACTATGGACTAAAAATAATTTTTTAAGCTACTGTTTCTAATGATACTAATACTATAACTTTTGCTGAACTATTAGTAAATTAAAAATAAAGATTTAACAGTGTTACTTTATTTGTAATAACACTATACAAAAATTTTATTTGGCATTCATGTCAGAACATAATTTAAACATTTTACAAAAGGAAAGCCAGAAGTATATTGTAAAGTTATATTTATCACAAATAGAATATATAATATTTGAATTATAAATAAATTCACCATGTTGCATTGTAACAAATGCAATATTGTGTCTGTACTTAATGTGTTTTGTGATAACATCCAATAGTATATTTAGATTGTTTCAGGTTAAGAATGACTGCAGTCGTGTTTTAGGTTAAGAGAGACCACTAATCACATGAAAATTTCTAGTGGTTTGCAAATAAAATTAATACTTTTAATAGGACTGTTACATGTACAATTTTAAATGACTGATATCTACTTTCCTTGATAAATATATACCTGAAGAGATGGTCTTAATTTTTATACACTTACACCAAGGTACAGCAACATGGCAGAATGCATATTTATAAATAGTGTAAACCAAACTGCCACACTTTATTAAAAAATATGTAGCATGCAATTGTATTTTATTGCTGTCTTAATCATCAACTATAGAACACGACTAGTTCTGCTTACCTTAATGTGTGACAGTCAGTTTTAATCACAGCTACTTGCAAACTGCCACAGTATTCTTTGACTGTTTAACTTGATAAAATTTAAAACTCTGTCCTAAAATGTAAGTTTTAAAAGGTGTTGCCTACTCTAAGATGTTTCATAGAGCATGTAACAACATTCATATAACTAGCTTCTTGGATATAAAATGTAAGGGTTTCAAAACACTACATGGTATGGAGGCAACATTTTATTGTTCCATTTACTTTCTTCCATATCAGTGATTGGAAGTTTAATTATTGTCACAGATATTCAATTTCTCAGTGTAAGCAAGGAAATAATCTTCTTGCCATCAACAAATTATTCTCAGTCTTTCTTAAACTTAATAAGTTGTTACATACTCAATCTAATTGTTCATTTTCTCTTCTTATTTTGTGCTTCTATAAAACTTGATTTAATCTTACTGTTGCCAACTACAGCAGTATAATTATCCTTACTTTTTATTAAAAAAAGTTTAATATATAAACAAACGAAAAATGGAACACAATTATAACCTATAATACATCACATATAAACAATAATTTGAAACAACCAAATAGGTTCAAATTATCATCAGTTTCATAAACTGAGCCCTATACTAGGTTTTGAAAAAGGAAAATATGTACAGTTAAAACTTGGAATTTTATGACTGCCTGAATTTTGAAGAAATTCAACCAGGAATTCTTATTGACACTGATCTCTTTGCCGTAGATCTTCATTGGGACTCCCTTGTAACTTGCCTATTACATGTTTGACCCATCCCCTAGGAGTGCCATTTTCCTCTGATCCTTCAGCAAAATCATATGAGTCCTTACAAGGGCTAATTTCAATGACAGTAGAGGCAGTGGAATGTTGGGAACTAGTGTCACATTCATCATCACGAGACAAGGAGTTACCACTTGCCTTCCACAGCTCCAGCTCTCGGCGACGATCATGGATAGATTTACTGATACCCTCAAGATTACGCACCAGATGATCTTCTTTCTGGTACCTACAGTTCTCTTCTAAACTCTTTACCTTCTCAAAAATACCTGGTTTAGATCCTGATACTTGGACTATGGGTTTGCTCTTCAGTATATCTGGCTTCGCAGGGACCGGTGGTGGAATTTTATGGTTTTTAGTAGGCCTAGGTGGTAGGACCTTGTCATCATTTGCATTAACTGTGCTGAAGTCTTTAGAGGCGAGAGGAGAATCTGTCAGTTCTTCATGATCACTGAATACTGCAGAATCTCTGAACATTTCATTTTCCAGAAACGGCTCTATAGCTTCAAAGGAACGTTCATAAAAGCTATCAGCAGAGCCATCACTCAGATTAACATCATCAGTCTTCTCCTGAACAGATTCATGGGGATCATTATAAGGTGCAACGGTACTGGAAGAAACAGAGATTGGGATAGATATATCTAAACTTCCACTGAAACCAGAGGTTTTTTCCCCTTCACTAGAAGAGGCTGTGAAGTTGGATGAAACTGAAAGGACAGAGTCAGGTCGCATATCTGATGTTTTGTGTGTGGATTCAGGGGGTGGTGCGATGTTTGGGTATAGCTGTCGTGGATTTGCATATTCTGAGGAGCAATGAGCAATGCGAGCTCCAAGACTTGAACTTCCTTGCTTGTAAATGGGCAATGCAGGAGCAGACATAGTCTGTACAGGTGACGGAGTTCGATGTTGGACCACGTCATAGTATTCTTCCGTAGAATCCTCACCCATGATGTTGCGTATTCGTTGTTTCAAGGTCTTACTATACTGCCTTGCCAGGGCATACACCAGTCTACTTGCTCGTCGCTCTCTCTGAAGAAGCCGTTCTTGTTCCACCTCACCATCATTTGACTCTAAAGTCTCGGAACTCATTCTCATCCCAGCAAGCTTGTTACTCACACTTGAGATCACATGTTTGAGAGATGCTTTTGAAACACTCGGCCTGTAGATCTTATATTCAGGATGGACATTTAATTCATTAAGACTTGTATTTGGAGTTGCTGTATAGTCTGTCATACTGTCATCTTCAGTTGTGTCTCCTGCATTTAGAGGGAATCTGTGCCTGACATGACATGTATCACTCTGTTCTATGTAACGCTCAATATCTTCAAAATTGATCTCTGGTGGCTTGTCTGATGCTATTGTAAAAGGCCTGTCAGAACATGAACGTCCATCACGGGTTAATAACCGAGGCCTATAAGATCCTCCCTTGCAGCTTGCTTCATGTGGTAGAGAGTGAGCATCATGGCTTAGCTGAAAACTACGTGGCAGAGATCCTGATTTCTTATTAGGAGTGGCTAAATGTTCACCCTGTTGTTTCAACCACACAGCTGGCAGAGTGGGAATATTTGCGGCATCCAGAGACACTTGAGACATGGAAGGTGGGAGGCACTGCCGTTGCTGTCTGGAATCATCTTCTCCTTGACAGGAGAAAGATCGGGTACGACGAAGTTTCATTAACATTTCCTCAGTGTCGCCATCTGTTCTCCCTTCTTCTGTCTCTGCCAGACATCTGATTTCCTCCTGCTGTCTACGTACACTTTCCCAGATATGCTGAAGGTTGTCATAGTTCCCAAAATTATCTCGAGTCTTATCCCAATCTAAACTACATTGTCCCTCCTCCCTGTCACTCTTTTCGTCAACTAAATCTGAGTGACAATGCAGCCACTCTTGTTTATTGATTACATCTGCAGCTCTACTTGAATAAATATTCACAGAACATCCTCGAAGAGGATCCACAGTTTCCACACTCACATCCTCTTCCTTTTTAAACTTATTATTAGATAAACATTGAGATCTATTTATACCTTCATCTTCTCTATGGCACATTAAAGTTACATACTCAGATTCTAGTGGGGCCGATTCGTGTTGGTGGGTCTTGGATGCAATAGATTTCTGCTCATTGCGCAATGCTCTCATATGGGCATATCTGTGCGCTCGATAGCTCTGTCCTGATACAACCCCCACTCTAGATGGTGCTACAATTGAGGCAGTCATACTCAGGGTTTCATATATACCATCTTCATCATCATTCTCGGTATCTGTCGTCTCATCTCGATTTCCACCACCAGCAGACGAAGTACTATTACCAAAGTTTGTAAGACGATGCCGCAAGTTAACGTGCCGCTGCTGTTTCTTTAAGATTTTCTGGAACTCCTGATTTTGCATAAGCAGCTGGCTTACAATTTCTTCCAATGTTTTTGCTTGTCCCTCATTGCACTCCTCTCTCTCCTCACGGCCATCATCACATTTCACATCACTACCAGTCACTATCTTGTCACCACACTCACTATCAATACTGTCATCAGCAGTCACCCCACATTTGTTATCATGCAAATGGGTGGAATCAGTTTCAATGCATGAACTATCTCTCCTTCCCCCTGTGCTACCGTCCTCATGCAAGCTATTCAAGCTATTCTGAAATTCTGACTGCACATCCTGTTTTTCTATAGTTGCTGCAACAGTGAGTTTTGGGGACTTTTTACTGCTGGAGGTCCCAGCTAAGTAGCATCCTGGCTCAGACTTACGTCTCCAGCTTCCAAATCGATCCTGAAAAGAAGACGTTCTGTAATGCATTTCAAATTATGGAGCTGATGAAATCTTTTCTCTGTACAATGTGATTCAATTTATGCATTATACCTCTCATTATTAGGGAGGAAAACTGTTTATTAGTCAATATTTATTTTACTGACAGCCTCTGGACATCAACCCAGTATTTCATGCCAGAACATTACTTCTTTGCATTTTGTTGTTCCTGTAGAATTCTTCAGGAAAAAGAACATGGTACAGTCCTCGATACATTTGTTTCAACAGTTCTCTTCATATCAATAAAAAAGAGTTATCAAGTTAGTTTGCTCAATCAGAATTTTATCTTAGTCCAATAAATTATAAATATTATGACACTTCATTTATGTATGCTGAACTCTAACATATCTGAAGCACTCCATGGTTTGTAAATAGTTCTTGCACATTTTCGTGAAAATATACAACATAAGACGCCTCTCAGAATTAAATTATTTTATTAAAAGTTGCAATATGAATTCAAGTTTTAATTTCAAGAATAAAACATGTTCTCTTTCACTTTCAGAAAGCTGCTCGTGGCTATTCGAGGTAAAATGTGTGCAAAATTAATGGGTACTGAACATGAAGAATGTCAATTCCAGAAAATGTGCTCGACTCCGCTAAGGTACTGTCCCAGTAACGCAATCTATTTACCTTTATTCTTGCATGGGGTGAAGTGGAACGACGGGAATCATCTCGACTTTCGCTGCGATCACGACTGCTACTGGAAGCTCTGCGGTCCCGTCTTTGCAGTAAGGGTGAAGTCTGTTGAAAAAACAATGTATAAACAGTTGATGACACAGGATCAAGCACAGTCATTTTGTTCTGGATAATCATGTGCATGGATCCAATGGAACACAATAGCCCATAGATCAGGAACAGCTAAGTCTACCAGATCCAATATAATGTGCGACTGTGTCTGCGCGTGCGTGTGTTTTTCCCTTCTTATCAGAAGATGGAGAATTATCCATCCTTCAAAACAGATTTTTAAGGCTTTAAGATTTTTAAGATAAAAATAATAGATAAAGCCAAAACAAAAAGGATAAGCTTTCAAATGAAGATTAGTGGATGACAAAGTTACAAATACACATATATATTATTAGTACAGTAAAACCTCTCTAACTTGGACACTTGCGGTTCGACGATAATGTGTCCAACTTACAGGGGTGTCCAGGATAGAGGGAAAGGGGAAAATCATCCTTTCAAATTGTCGTGTAATAACAATGTGGTAATTGTAAAGTATTATGGAGCCCTTCCCAAAAATAAAATTATTGATAACAAAAATCAAAAGGGTAAATTAAATTTTTACAAATTTTGTCTTCACTAAATTAAACTTGCATGGATAAGCTCAAAGGGAAGGGCACCAATACTTTACGTTTACCGACAATGTAATCTGTTTACTTACATAATCTAACTACTGTAGGCTTGCTCGAATTAAGAATTAATGACAATAATAATAATCTTTTGAAACCCACTCTCGTGGTTGCACATTACACCCCAGCCTCAATGAAATTTTAAATGTTCAGAATGTATTTTTTTAATTGTACTTACGGCATTAGCTCAACATATGATGTCACTTAATTCTTGTAAAAATGTCCGTCACAAGACACTATACACTTTGACTGCATTCCAATAATGTGTTCAATTTCTCACACCCTCAACCATAAGCTAATCCTCAGGTAGAAGGCATTCATTGTCAGAAATTCAAAGCAACAAAATACTAACTGTAAAAGTTTCCCATAAAAGCATTGAAGCTAACTGCATGAACCTGTCCAACTTACAACAAAAGGGGTGACCAAGTTCCAGGATAAGGGGGTGTCCAAGATATAGGATATTGTGGACATGTAAAATTATAGGATATTCGCCGGTTCCAATTAAAAGTGTCCAATATAGAG